GGAGATGCTAAGCAATGCTTATTCCCTTTTAAGGTTCTAGTGTCAAGCCAATGTTTGACTGAAGTTTTACTGGGGAACCAATGAATTTATTGAAGTTACTTACTGAGCTAACTGAGGGGTTGCTGAGGTGTATGTAGGACCTGAGGGTATGAACACTGGAAAGCCTTTGCCCAGCACAGGTCATGCCTTCTCTTCCTAGCCTTCCGCTAGGGTTCTTTTAGCCTTGGGAAATAGTGTTGGTCTGCATGATTGCCTTACCCTGCCTTTGACCAAATAGGGGATATTGAGTAAAAGTCCTTCCTATGGCTCACATGTTTGAGTCTGGTCTTGTGCATCTGAAACTGGGTCTGCACCAGAATTGCTCAGGCTTGGATAAGTGCAGGTTGCTGGGCCCCACCTGGGGCATCCTCCCTGGGGAGGGCAGGGGCATTCCAATTTGCATAGATACTCTTTGACTATGATGTGCTACATCTGGGTAAATCCATCCTAAGTGGATAAGTTGAAAATGCATTGAATTCACCTCAGCTAACATTCCAGCTTGGCAACGCACAGGCTGTAGAGCTCCATGTGTTCCCCTCATGATCCATAGCTGACTGAGAGCTGCAGCTCTCTGTGCTACCCAGCACTGACAGAGGCTCACATCCACATCACTGGCATGGAGAAAGATCCAAAATCAAAATTCAAAGTTTCTACCAAGTGTGCATCCTTTTTGGACCATCTTGAAGTTGAAAAGTTAAGCTGAGAGTTATATGTGTTTGCTGTGTGTTCACCTCTGTGGTTAGTCTGAAGCTCCCTTGGAGAAATCACTGAGCAGGAAGCTAAAAAGTGTGTGCGTACTCCGACCTCTGTAAGTTGGTGGGAGCTGGAGCTTTATACCACTGACTACTTTTAATAGGTCTGGAGTCAGGCCCAAGAGCCTGAATTTCCAAGAAGTTTCAGGTGATACAAGTTTAAGTACACACTAGAACCATATAGAAACTTTAAACAGTATTGTGGGGCTGGAGAGATGGCTCCATGGTTAAGAGCACTTGCTGCTCTTACAGAGGACCTGGGTTTGGTTCCAAGCATCCACATGGCTGCTCACAATCACCTACAACTCTGATGCCCTTTTCTGGCCTCCATGGGCTCCTGCATGCATGTGGTATGCATAAACTCACAGGCAAACACACACACACACACACACACACACACACACACACAATCAAATCTTTAAAAAAAAAAAACCCACATTATTGCTGCTTGGGTCCCATCCTGGATTAGCCACATGTAGTATACTCTTATGACACTGGTCATTGCAGAGAATTCAACTCCCAGTCAGTCACATGATCTTTCCCTAAAAAAGATGGCCAAGTCTTTAAAGCCACCTGCTTCCTTATGAGGCCTGGCTTCTAGTGGACAGCCACTGTGCTACTTCTGTTTAACAGTTTGTTTGGCTGTGCTCCCCAGACATACGGGAGCCAGAACTTGAAGCATGTGGGGGTGATCCTGCAGAGGGGCTTGCTCATCCTGCTCCTGTGTTGCTTCCCCTGCTGGGCACTCTTCATCAATACGGAGCACATCCTGCTGCTCTTCAGGCAGGACCCGGATGTGTCCAGGTAAGCCAGCACAGGGTGGGGGTGGCGTGGGCACCCATCCTTTCAGAAAGACCGTCCAGACTCAGCCTTGGGGGTGACACTAGGACAGGGTTCAAGCTGCCCTAGGCTCATCCTTCCCAAGCCTTGGTACCTTCTGTACCTTGCTCCTGAGAACTAGATTTCCTAGATGGCTTCCAGGGTAGAGATTTTTACATGATGCTACATTTGCAAACATCCTCCCCATGGGATGGCAGTTTGTGGCTTGTTAATCAATTAGTGATTTCTGACTCCAGTCAAAATTGAAGTCACCTGGATGCTATAGCTTCCATTCTACGCCTCTGGTCCCCATGTACCCAGATTCTTAACTGCTTCAGGTGAGGCCTGGGCATTCATAACTTCCAAAGCTCCTGTGGGTAAGCTGCTGTGTCCAAGACTCTGGCTTAAGTGATTAATACTTTTAAAGAGCATTTGCCCCACATTGTAGCTCTGAACCCAGGGGCATTAGGTGATATCTGAAGATATGTTTGGCTATCATATTGAGTAGAGGGGCTTGGGAACCAGGAAGGCTGAGAGACAGTCTGTGTGCCGAGGGCAGCTCCCACAGCAGGGGACTGGCCAGCTGCAGTGTGAGGCTCAGAACCCCTGTCCTAGACCTGAAGACTTGAAAGAAGCAAGAATGGCAATTTGGGTTAAAAGGCGATAAACTCCATGTATACTTACTTTTCCATCTGCCCCAACAGCCTAAGTCCACTTATTTAGAAGGAGCCCAGAAGGCACTTGGCAGTGTTTGTTGTTTTATTCTGCCTCTTTTTCACAAAATATTGGCCCCCGTCATCATTTTCACTATTTTCTCTTATATAGGCTCACCCAGACCTATGTCATAATCTTCATTCCAGCTCTTCCCGTGAGTTTTCAAGGGGTCCATGGGTGAAAAGTGGCTGGGATATCATGAGCTCAGCCTGGCGTGATTCCCACGTGACATCAGCTCCTCACAGAAGTATGGTTTTGATTACATTCCTTAAGGACAAACCAGTATTTGTCTCTCAGAAACACTAGGACATGATGAATGGAATTCAGGAGACCACTGTCTTGACCTTTTATACCTCCAATATCCTTGGGGTCATCCAGGGAGAAGAATCCGGGCTGTGTTTTTAGGAGTAGTAATACTTGCCCATCTCAGGGGACATCACTTTGACCTTTAGACTTTTGTGTGTGATCACACAGATCTGTAAGTGTGTGTTAATGTTTAATAACTAGCTGTAGATGGTCAATGAACAATCAAAGCTGGGTTCATTCAATTGGATAGAATGGCTGATGTTTACTAGGATTGCCACAACATAAGGCCACAGTCTGGGGGCTTAACAGTAGAAATTAGTTTTCTCACAGTTCAGAAGGCTAGGGGTCCTCGATCAAGTGTGAATCTGGATGCTTTCCTCTGTGGCCTCTGCCCATGGCTTCCACCTCTTGACCTCTATTCTCTTTTGTTCCCACATCACATAGTCATCTCCTGTGCAGGAAGCCCCTGGTGTGTCTTCTGGCAAGGACACCAATCTTATTGGATTAAGACCCCCACCCCAAGTCCTCATTTTCATTTAATTACCCCTTGAAAGACCTCCAAATATGGTTAAATGTAGGGCACGGCTTCCAAATGTGAATTTGGGGGACACACTCTGGCCTGTAATTGTAGCCATTTGCCTTTACAATTGGCATTGTGTTTTTTAGTTTATCCTAAAACATCTCATTTT